AAGCGCACGCTCAGAACGACGCAGCCGTACATGTGCACGAGCTAAATGTTATTTAGCAGCAGCTAAAGGCCAAAGATGCGTCCGCCCCGTCTCCTGGACGTGTCTTTGTGTTTGACGTTCCACCACTTTTAGCTCGCCTGCAGCCGAAACTGACGATCCTTATCTTTGCTGTTTTCATGTAAAAAAAAGAAAAAAAGCTAAAACATAAACAATGTAAACTTTTTTTTTGTTTAGAGTTTCTTCCGTACGCTGTTTGGATCCTAACTCTTCAGCAACCTTCCAAATATTTTAACCATTCAGGTATCAAACAATTCGGCTCGTTCAGGGCGTTACGGCTGTGATTTGTGTTTTTTGTAATTTTTGTACTTTTTGAAACATTTTACTTTAGTTGCAATTTTTTTTCTCATAGAAATACATTAAAATTTCTTACAATCCTTTAAAAAATTGGTGTTCCTTAAAATTAACTTTAGGATACATGCTTCAATTTTAGCTTTTAGCTACTTTTTATGTGCAAATTTTAGCTTTTAATTACCATTTTGTTATTTTAGTTTTTTGTTGCTGTTTCTGAGCAAAAGATTTCAACAAACACAAAAAACAAAATCATAACTGTGCCGATAAAACCTTTAGCTTTAAGCTAACATTCTGATAATTCAAACTTCCAGCTGCTGTTGCTAGTTTTAGCTTTTAGCCACTGCCTTAATGTGCCTAACTGCACATAATTTCGCTCCACCACATGTACCACATGAGGTGCGAATGACAATAAAGAAACTCTGACTCTTTTTATTTTAGATTTAAGCTACTGACTTGATATGGATATTAATTGTTTTTGCTGTTTTTAGTTCTTAGCTACTCTTTTTGGTTTTAGCTTTAAGCTACTGCTTTGAGAATTTTAGCTTTTGGTTACTGTTTTGTTGATTTTAGCTTATCTTTTGCTTGTTTCAGCTGTAACAGTTTTAACGTTGAATTTTAACAAATTTAACATTTTTCAGCCAAGTCATTCAGCACGGTGTATTCACACAATTTTAGCTATTAGCTCTTTTTCTGTAGGTATTAGTTTTTAGCTACTGTTTTACTAATCAGAGCTTTTAGCCACTGTTTTGTACATTTTAGCTTTTAAATAATAGATCATTGTACATTTGTTTTGCTTTTAGTAATTTTTGTTCTGATTGTTTGAATTTTAATATCTCAGTTTCAGCTTTTTCAACAAATTTCAGCTGTCATTTAGCTCTTAACATTTTAGCAGAAATTAATTATTTCTAATTATTTAAATTAAATTTTTAAAAAATCTGTTTATTGGGAGTTAAAATTTAAAGGAAGACCAAAGCTGTTCTTTAAATATTATTTGAAACAGCGTCACCATGTGGAGCTAAAACACTCAGCTGAACGTTTAGTCGAAACATACAGCTGAAAG